GCAATTCGTCAGGAGGTAAATAGTTTTTCTTAAACTAGCATCAATCAGTAGAATGGCATTCCTTGTTGTAGATTTGACAGAAGTATTGAGGATGCCAAGTTGGTGTTGAGTAGAAACTGGCTCATACCCCTTCTCTTTTGTTGCGTGCAGCATGAAGATAAAAACCTTGCTGTTCAACTTGAAGATGCATCAATTTTTTGCTTCCAAAAGGTTGGGTGAAAGGCAAAGAACAGAACCCTACTAGCGCCATTCATTTCCAAGACTGGCAAGAAGCAGTGTGATAAACATGTCCTTTGGGAAGTATCCTCCACATTTCTTCAATTAATGATGGAGATTTCTGACGCTGTTGATCAACAGTAGTCCAAAATGTTCTCGTTTGTCAACATCTGTACGTTTGTCAGATGTGAGAGGATTTTACTCACCGAAATCGTGTCTTGCGCCATATACAACCCGTTCAAATTGTTCCATGCAAATTGAGCATGCGTAAGACTCATATGGATAGAGAAAATTTCAAGCTACTCTTTCGTTGAAAGATTTCGAATGAGTTCCGCATAAGCGCCAAGGGACACATGAAGAAAGACCATAGTCTAGCGGATTTTGCGCTTGAAATGCTGCAGCAGCAAAGAGGCCACTAGGCAAGCCAGTGCCAAGCCTGGGATGCAGCCCGCACTGAATTTCCTAGTGCGTCCCGCAAAGGTGGCGACCAAGTGGAGTGTAGCTGATACGCGTGTCGACCCTTTAACATCGCTAGCTCGCAGTCCCGTGCATGAAGCAACTAGTGCAGCCATTGTGCCGCTTGGCTTCATGAACAGCACAGGTTGAAAGTCTCTGCTCGTTCGCAGCCCCACGCGAGATTCATCATGTTCTTCTCCGCGCATTCTCAGCCCCTCGGAGGTTGCAGCACGTGAGTCTCTGCTCGTTCGCAGCCCCGCGTGTGATGCGGCACTCTCGTCCCTTCTCCCCTGCTCCCTGGTTTGTAATGCTCTTCAGTCATATTCGCTCCCTCGCAGCCCAGTCAGCAAAGGGGGTCATGCTGGCAGCGTGGTTGGAGCCAGTGGGAGTGGCTAAGGTCGGCCTGAGTCGACCTTGTCCCCAAAATGCACCTACAGTCGAACGTTGCTGTCATTCAGAAAACCATCGAATTTCAACAGTCATCCCGCCACTATTATGTTGGCATCGCACGTCAAAGGGGCACCGCATGCCGCGTGCTCCGCCGGTGGAGGTGGCCTCTCCGGCGTCAATTAGTTGGCGCATCGTGCAACCTTCAGGCAGTTCGGGGAAATCTACGCCACTGACTGCTAGCCCCGCTGCCGGCTTGTCTTCTGCGCCATGTGATGGCCATGTCGTGATCGATTTTTACATGCTTCCAATGCGGGAACATTGCGATGTAGCTTCAACACATGCTTTGATCTAGGAACACCTTACCAAGATTGGAGTCTCACCAGAGAAGTTTGTACGCATCAGCATTGATGGTGCTTTCATTATGATGGGGGCCAACAGCGGCCTTGTCACTTGCATGCATGCCAAAACACCATATCTTGTGTCTTGCCACTGCATTGCTAACAAATACATCATGTCCCGTTGTCCTTGATTGCCGATCCACTCTCGTGTTAGTGTAGTTCTCCCACCACTCAGCTCTAAGATGTTTCTCTTGTTTACGTAGGGAGGCATTGGCAGCAAAGGATGTTGTGACTACCGTTTTTAGAGCTAGCTATCATGAGCAAAGTCATCCAGATGTTCACACAAAGGGCCGCTTTGGGAACTGGCATGCGCATTTCAAGCAGCTATAGGACATCGTCACACAGACTAAGATCGAGATGCAGGGCATTTTCAACATACACTGGCAATCTCGAGGTGACTTGGTCGCCCGGCTTGTTGAAGTACTCCATGCATGGTCTATCTGCTGCTTGAGTACGATGAGGAGTTGTACAACCTCGTCAAAAGCTACAAGTTCCACTTTTATCTTTACTTCCTAGTTGATATGCTTGCGTTGCTGAACGGCCTCAACAAAGCGTTCCAAGCTGAACGTATTGGTCCTATGCTTGGCACTCTTGTTTTGTCGTCCAATCCAGTGTCTCTTTGAGCTCTCCCAAACTCGTTCCTACCACAGGTCGACTTGGAAGTGGTCCAGAGGCTGATCAGGAGGACCGTCGTGTACATCAAACAACACAACGAGGAGTGCGGGGCCAAATTCGGGGGCAGAAACTCCCTGTTTCTCCCGGTTGAGGGGTGAAAGTCTGACGGCCAGGCGATATCGCACAACTTCGAGATGCTCGACGACACCCCGGGCGAGGATCATGAAGAGGGTTGCCATTTGTGCATGTGGTTTGCGACGTCGCCAACGCGGAACATCCCTAAACGGCTGGGAGACCTCGAGAAGCTTACATGCAGGCTCTTCACCTCGGACTCCAGGCCGCCGGGGAAGAAGAAGCAGAACAGCTAGTGCATGGAATGGCTGCAATCCCTGTTCAACCTCTTCCATACAAGAGGCAGGCGAGAGGTGTTGTCAGGTAAGCATTGTTGTGTGCTTGTAGATGTTGCTACAGCAACACGTTTTCCATCCTAGTTGCATGCACGTGTGAGCCACTAGCATGTGTACCCGCAGTCATACCTCTCATTGCCAACTGCAGGTGTTGACAAAAGGGCGAAAAAAAAGACCTCCACATCCTGATCTCCTTGCTGAAGCATGCACCACTGGGGGAGCGGAAATTCCACAAGGGACAGTCAGCGATGCTGAAGTCTGACGACTGGAAAAACGCTTACCGTAACCTGTGACTCTTATGGGTGACATTTTCGGTGGGACTCTCCACGGTGGAGTGCAAACGGGGATTCAGTCGGCGGAATAGCATCAAAATCTGGTGCGAGGCAGCCTGTGCGACATGACGCTCGACGACCTCATGAGCATGGCACTACTGGACTACGAGACAGACTGCGAGGGAGTGGTAAAGGTGTTTCAAGAGAATTAGTCGAAGCTGTGCTCCACTTCGATCTGCCCCCCCAGCCGTGTGAAGGGCAACAAGGGAAAGGAGAAAATAGTGGATGGGCCGAGGGAGGAGGTAGAGGAGGAGGTGGAGGAGGACAAGGAGAATGAGGAGGGCAGCTAGGACGAAGAGGGGGGGAGAGAGGAGGAAGAGGATGAGGGATATGCGGAGGGAGAGGAGTGTAGCAGTAGAGACGGTGAGACAGATGAAGATGATGAGTAGCAACAGCATGGGCAACAGCACCAACAGTGTCACATGATCGAATTAATCAGGAGAAAGTTGCACTATTGATCTATACAAGGCGCTTTTATACTTCCAAGGTACAACAGATAACCATGTTTATCCTATCCAAAGGGAATAGAACCTTCTAGAAATAGAATCACCCTGCGTATAGCCACGCGAGACTATTGGCTTTAAGGGATTATGGTAGGGTTGCGCTAGTTATAGTGTGCCAGTACATTCCGATCCTGGTCGGTGATATAATTATAAAAGCAATGTATACCATAAGGATAATGGAAAATGGGGAATAGGAAACCAAATGAGATGAAATAGAGACCAAATGAATCGGGATTAAAAAGAGAATGATGTAGAGAAGAAGTTTAGAAATGAGAAAGAAGTATAACGGGGTAGAAGGAACACCCTGAATGACAAGGTAGTCGCGAAGAGGACGACGGGGGTTACCCATATCAGATTCAGAGACCAAGCTATCCTCAGAAGGATCATAACCCTTCCAACGGATGAGAAGCTCCAAGGAGCCATTCTGACGACAGCGGTGTGCAAGTACGGAATCGACCTCGTACTCGGGTTCATCATGGACGAGGACAGACGGTGGCATCGGCGGTTGGCGTCCAATGAAGATAATGTTGGGATCTCGGTAGGGCTTCAGAAGTTGGACATGGAAGGCATTGTGAATCTTCCAGGTAGCTGGCAGGCGTAAGCGGAAGGAAATGGGGGTGACCTGTGCTTCAACAAGGAAGAACCTGCAGAAGCGAGGTCGCAGTTAGGATGGGAGATGGCTGATATCGAGATTGCGGGTGTCGAGTAGAACACAGTCTCCCATGGGGATGGTGTGGTCATTGTGGTGGCAATCGACATGGCGCTTCTGTTATTGCTGAATATCGATGAGGTGCTTGTGGGTCCGATCCCAAAGCTGATGCATGGTGGTGATGAAGTCGTGTGCATGTTGGATTGTGGCTGGTGCTGTTGGTTTCTGTAGAGTGAGCGGGTTGCATCCGTAACAGAGGAAGAATGGTGTCTATCCAGGAGCGGCGTAAGTTGCGTTGTTGTAGGCAAACTCCAGGACGAGCAGAAGCAAATCCTATTTGGAGATCTCGTCCTTACATGATGCGCGGAGGAGTTTCTCTACAATTTGGATGAGGCATTCGGTTTGTCCGTCTGTCAGTAGATGGTATGCGGATGACATGGCGAATTTGGTCTAGAGCAGAAACATCAGTTCGTTCCAGAACTTGCTGATGAACTTAGGGTCTCTGTCGGAGATGAGTGTGGTTGGAATGCCCTGCTAGGAGATGATGTAGTGAACGAACAGTTGTGCCGTCTCCTCGGTGCGTCCTATCGTGTGCCCCAAGGGTGTGGGTGTAGGAACATGCTCCGCGCAGCGCTCACCGCTGCCCGCATCCAGACACCACGAATCGAGATCGTGTGGAGACTCACGTGGCGGCAGGCAACCCTTCCAGTATCCCTGGGGGTTTGGGGCTGATTGACCCCACCTCCGAAGCGCCGGCAACCTATCTCGCGTCCACGGCGGCGGCAACCGCGCTGCTCTCCTCCATGCGGCTGGCGGACAGCCCACTCTGACAGGCCCACAACTTCCTAGGGGCCTCCCCCACCACTCTGGTTCGTAGTAACGAAATAGGTTGAGTGGGGTATTGAGCGAAAATGAACCCTTGGGTCATGCCCAAAAGCACTTCGTGACCTCCCTTGAGTTCACGAAGGTTCAGTATGGTGCCCTTTTTTCCGAAACGGTATGAGAACAATCCACTTCGGTATCGTCACGAAACCTTCCGCGCTTTTAGGGCTGTCGAATCCATGCTCTTTCAAGCACTCACACAGCTGCTAGTAACAGGGTTTCGCACTCTCTTCCACCTCGAGTAAGCGTAGCAGTTCATACCCTCACCGAGTGCACCTTCCACTATCAGCTCGTGATTCGTCGTCCCGTGTCGTCGAGGCCAAGCGTCAGTCGGAGTCAAGCAAGGCCACACGTGCTTGCCGCTGCCAGCGCGGGCGGCGTAACTACGGCAGCGAAGGGCGGCATCATAGCCTTGCAAGCGCGCGCCCTCCAGCTACGGGATGGTAGCGAGGCGGGGCGGAGCCGCGTCCTTTCCTCCATGGAAAAGGTACTCCTGGTAGTGCATAGAGCGAAGGCGGGCGACAGCAGCGCGGAGTGTGCGTGCGTCCGGATGGCAGTCCTACGCGAAGGACAGGCGGATGGCAGATCTGCGGCTCGTCGCCCGGCGTCGCCCTTGCCATGCCAGGGTCGACAAGCCGAGAGCGCTTCAGCGGCCATTTCTGTGAGAAATTCTAGGCGCCGCCATGCTACGACTGGCCAAACCGGCCGTGGCTGCGCCGTAGGGCGGAGCGGTGCAGCGGAGTGGAGAGGTAGGCTAGGCTGGAGATTAATTTTAGAAAACAGTAGAAAGATCCAGGTCCAGAAAACCGGATACGATGAAGGACAAGCAAGAATAGGATGAGATGATCCATACAAGAGAGAGCGAGAGACATTTATGCTAGGGGGGAAGGATAGCGACTTGGGAGGATAGTCGTGTGCCCATCAAGCATACCGCCTCGATTCTATGCTCTGCTGGACACCTCCTTCCCGCAGAAATAGGGAAGAGAGAGTTATAGACTACTAGCTGGTGTCTAGGGTCGGACAGATCTCATGCATGCCTATCTCTCTTTCGGGAATTCCCACGCATGGTGAATCCCAGTCTGCATTTCCGTCTGGGAAAGGCCGGCTCTAGCCAGCCGCAGCAGCCGGCTCTGGAAGTCTGCCACCTTGAGGTGCCCAAGTAAGGTACTAGTTGTAAGGGACGGTTCATGTGCTGTTAATAACTACATCCACTGGGTGAAGCCGTGATTCCGTTAAGCAAGGCAGAGGCACCACCAGCCACTGCCACCACCTGCTATGGCCACCACTCGCAACCCAGCAGCTCGTCGCTTCAGCCGTGGCCCAATCGTGATTAGATACGCATTGTTTCCACAGGCTGATGCGTAGACCGTTGCAGATGGCTCATAAGAGAATGCTTCCTCCTGTGTTATCCACCCACCTGCCATCCCACCTTTCAGAGAAGCCCCCCCCGCACACAGCACGTGGTCCCATGCGCTCGCCTGGCAGAGACGTGCTCACACCTTGCTGCTGCTCCTGCTGGCGCTGCTGTGCACTTGTGGAGAGGCGCCTGCACAGTCGATCCACTACACTCAGAGTGCGTGGCGGCATTTGGTTGGCACTGCTTGGCCTTACTTGCACTTGAAGAGAACAATGTGCACGTGAAGGCAGAGTCGCAGAGAAGACGGCTTATGGGTCTGTCTCTCCCAAGTTCTCTCGTACACGCACACGCACACTCGAACACATAGAGACTACGAGTGTCTAGACACGCATACGAACACACAAAGACTGGCATGTGTCTTTTCTTGCTGCTGCACGCTTTCTCTCTCCGCTTTACTCATCAACCTGCGCTGCGTCTGCTGTAGGACTATTCTCCGCTTTCCCTCATTCGCCTCCATCCATGTCACCGTCCGCTCTGCCTTAATGTCCCACAACAAACCACCACGCTGCAACGCTGCCAGTGCCTGTGCTGCAGAGCCTAGGGGAGGAGTGGGGTTCCTTCCCCCATGCCATCACGTGGTTGTTCAAGACTGACTGTCGGGAAATGCTTGGCATCACTTGCAGCGCAGATGGCTTTGTTGTATCCATGTAAGCAGCTCCCTCCTGCTCAGCACCATCATCCAAAGGACCTTTCTGCCAGTGCTTACTTGCAGTTGCAAGCTGACCTTTGTGCCTTTCGTTTTCCCTTGGCCACAGATTGCATGTCGTGTCATACACTCGTGTGGTTGCTTTCCAGCGCTTCCGTTAACTTTATTTGCTACTAGTTCCTCATACAATGGCAATTAGGCATGAGCAAAACCGGGTATTTACCCGACCCGACCCGGTTTTGCTATACCCGACTTCGGGTCGGGTATTTTCGGGTCGGGTACGGGTCGGGTAACATGCCCAGGACTAGACTTGAGCATTTTACCCGGTCGGGTCGCGGGTACCCGACCCGACCCGACATTTTGGCCGGGTCGGGTAATGGGAATTTGACGAATTACCCGGCCGGGTCGGGTCGGGTACTCGCGCCGGGTAATGCATACCCGCTACCCGAAAATTACCCGAAATGTCGGGTAATTTTTTACCCGACGGGTTGCGGGTTCCCTACCCGACCTCGGGTTTTTTACCCGAAGTCGGGTCGCGGGTACCCGACCCGGTTTCGGGTCGCGTAATTACCCGACGCCAACCAGCGCGTCAATTTTTGCGCTGGTTGGGAAATTTCGACCATAAGGTCGAAATTTCACGCGATTGTTTACCTTTCTAGTTGCGTTCGACCTAAGCCTACCCTAACATGCGCCTAGCAGCATTCCGCAGCGGTTGTACTACAAACCGCTGCTTGTTTTAACGAATCCTAGGGTAATGGGTAGACAAGGGCTCACCTTGGCGTTTTTTCTTGCCTAGCCGTCCGTTTTAGGGTTTCGTCACCCCTGCCTGAAGCTAGAGTGTAGGACACAGTGGAATCGCGGGTCTGACATTCAGGGGATTGACGGACAGGAGGGATTGACGAAGGGCTGTGAGGGAGGAGGGGCATTGGTCACATTCCGGAATTGCTTAAACTCTCCTTGGTATACTCGCATTCTATGTGAGGGTGCACACTCACCCGAGACCTCATGTTGACATGGTAGCTGCGTTTGTTGCATTGGCTAGTTTGCTAGATCGCATGCTTCCTACCTCAAACACTCTCCTGAAGCGAGCTACAAACACACTTGAACACTACTTGGTCGGGTGTCATGCATGATGGTAAAACATTTTGGTTTTGCAAAAAACACCCCTAGAATAGAGACAAGTTCCAGACTTAAGGCAGTTATGTCCTGGATAACACGAGTAAAAGAATTGTTTCATTCCCAGATACCTCAACAATGCAGTCACAAGTGTTTGAGATGCATTCTCATCAGGTCATAGCATACAGTAGCCCTTCGTGCTGAATTTTATACTCACCTAGGGATAGTCGGGTAATATTACCCGACTTTAAATAAATGCGGGTCGGGTATACCCGACCCGACAGACGGGTACCCAATTACCCGGTATTAAATTGCCGGGTCGGGTAACAAATCTCCAAACATTACCCGGAAATTACCCGACCCGACCCGACCCGGACCCGATCGCGGGTAGGGCAAAACCGGGTCGGGTCGGGTAATTACCCGGTTTTGCTCATGTCTACCCAGGACCAATACCCGGACCCGGGATTTGGGGGCGGGTAATTTAATACCCGCCTGGCGGGTCCGGGTATACCCGACCCGGTTTCCTTAATAAGCGGGTAGTATTACCCGCGTTTTTCTACCCTGTTGGGCTACTAAGCCTACGACCTAGATAGTGCTTCAAAAAACGTGAGTTGCGGGAGGGAGGGAGTATGAGGTGCGCCAAATCTTTAACAGTTCTGGTGTGGTGAGTGGGTCGTGAGTGGGGGGGCCTGAGTGGGGAGTTGGTTGGGTTTTCTAGTTGGGATGGGGTTGTGTGCGGTTTCTGGGGGTTTGATTCTTTGACCCCCAGAGTCAATTGGTTGGAACTCCAACCAATGTGGTGCTGTGCGGTTGGCTGGATTCAGGTTGGGTTGCAAATTCGATTGAAGAAATTCGATTGGTTTGACTTCCAACCAATTCCCCCCACTTCAACCACTCTGAATGCATCTGTATCTACGAAACCCAACCCCTGCCAATTTACAATGCTCTAGGTGACCTAGCAGCTCACGTAACCTAGAAACTTGATGAAATTTCTCTACCAGCGCGACTAATGTCTCGCTGGTTCCGTCGGGTAGACCGCTACCCGATTTCGGGTTGGGTACCCGCTAGGCTTGAGCATGAACCCGACCCGACCCGACCCGACCCGACTTTGCCCTACCCGAGGTCGGGTTCGGGTCGGGTCGGGTCGGGTCAAGTCGGGTCGAAGTTCAGGAAATGCCAACCCGACTCGGGTTTAATAGGTCGGGTACTACCTGACCCGATTTCGGGTCAGGTCGGGTCGGGTTGGCATAGGGGCAGGGACGGGTAATAAGCCGACCCGACGGTCGGGTCGGGTCGGGTCGGGTCGGGTACCTGAGGGTCGGGTCGACCCTCCGCAAATGTCGACCCGACCCGTCAAAAAGTCGGGTTCGGGTCGGGTTACCCGACCCGACCCGACCCGTTGCTCAAGCCTAGTACCCGCTACCCGACGCGTCGGGTAGCATTTCGGGTACCGGGCATTGAATACCCGCCCGGGTAACCCGGACCCGACCCGCCGGGTAGTATTCAGAATTTCCGATACCCGACCCGCCCTAAAAGCGGATCCGGGTACCGGGTACCCGACCCGGGCGGGTAGTATGCTCAACCCTAATGGCAATCCTTCGACATCTAACCATGCTCCCCCTCTTCCCCCCCCCAAACACCCCTATTCCCCTTCCCCCGCTTCCCTCTCCTCCGTGTTCCTCTCGCCTTCCTGCGTCATCAGGGCTGTCAGCGAGCAGCCTCTTATGAAGCCTATCCCCAATGCCATCAGCGGCTTGCACCACCTTCAGTCCCTGTGAGCCCATTTCTGTTCTCTGTTCTCACAGCAGCCGTTTCACCCAGCCTTCACCACACTGCACAGCAGGCACCGGCTGCTGTCCTGTGCAAGCTGACATTTTCCTCCATGCATCGTGCCTGTGCCTGTGCCCGTGCCCGTGACTGTGCCTGTTCCTGTGACTGTGCTGTGTTGGTGCCTCATTTCTTGCTTGTGCGTGTGGCTATTCGCAGCTATTTGGCCAACTGCCACTTGACGGGCTCGCTACCATCCGGGCTCTTCACTCTGCAACACCTCACCTATCTGTGAGCCCCACTGCAGCTAGACATGGGCAGACTAAATCGCATCGCATCGCTTTTCATCGCATTTTTTTGATTGCGATGTTCTTGTTTTTTTTTTTTTTTTTTTTTTTTTTTTTAATTCATCGCGCGATGCGATGTTTTTTTATCGCGCGATTTAATTTAAATCGCGTTTTAATCGCGCTGAAAATCACGATTAAAATGCGATTTGCGATTTTTTTTTTTATCGCGCGCGATTTTGAAATACCACGGGGGCTCGCAGCTGTCCTAAACCCAATACTGAACCGATTTTTTTATCTAAACTACCGCCCACGACTGCCCTTGATCCAAATTCCCATCGGTGTTGGTTTTTTTTATCCGGTTTTCTGAGGTTTTTTTAATTTAAGTAAAATGCGATGCGATGTTAAATCGCACCGCGCGATTTAAATAAACATCGCATGCGGCTTAAATTAACATCGCGCCCAAAATGCGATGTGCGATATAATTTTTTCATGAAATTAAATCACGCGATGCAATTTTAAATCGCATCGCATTTTTTTACATCGCACCCCTGTGCAATGCGATTTAAATCGCAATCGCATTTTGATCATGTCTAACTGCAGCCGGTAGTGTGGGAGGCTGGGAACCATGCATCCTCCTATGGCCCAAAGGCTGGTCTATCAGTTGTTTGTTGGAACTGCATGAATTTGCTTGGCATGGACGTGGTCACGTGGTCACGTGGCAGCAGGAGGTGTAGAAAAGAAGAGCTATGAGTTACAAGTAGCTCGCACGGCGTTGTCACTGAGTTGTCTTTCTAACTGTAAGCTATGGCGCCAGGCACTCCCTTCACGTTTCTTACTAGTTGCCTTTCCACAAAGCTCATCATACGGCTTGCTGCCCGTGTGCAACTTTCCAACTAAAGTGGAATACTTGTTGGTGTACTAGTAGACATGGTTAAAATGCGATGCGATATAATACCACATCGCATTTCTCCATATCGCATTTTATATCGCGCGATTTAATATCGCATCGCTGCGATATGTTTTCCAGAAAAATGATATCGCACATCACTTTTTAGGTGCGATTTCAAATTATGTCGCAAAAATATTGCGATAAATCGCGCTATGCGATTTAATGTCGCATCGCATTTAAAGGCATGGTTTAAACGCGGCTTTCAGGCCTGTGATAAGGGCATGCGATATTAAAATATCGCATGGATATAGGGTTGAGCAAACTACCCGCCCGGGTCGGGTACCCGGTACCCGGACCCGCTTTTAGGGCGGGTCGGGTATCGGAAATCCTGAAAATTACCCGGCGGGTCGGGTCCGGGTTACCCGGGCCGGGTATCAATACCCGCTACCCGAAATGCTACCCGACGTGTCGGGTAACGGGTACCCGACCCGGTCGGGTAAAAAATTACCCGAGGTCGGGTATTCCACCTAGACATGGGCGTAAGTCGCGCTGTGTTTTAGGTTTTGCGGCAAAAACGGTTTTGGAGGTGAGGGGGGACAAGTGGAGCATTTGTGAGGAGAAGTTGGAGTTTGTAGATGGGGAGGAGTTAAGTGCGGTGAAAGGGAGGGAGTTGGGTGGGAGTTGGAGAAGAGGTTGGAGTTTGTAGATGGGTAGGAGTTCAGTGCGGTGAAAGGGAGGGAGTTTTGTTGGAAATGTTGGAGTTTGTAGACAGGGAGGAGTTCAGTGCGGTGAAAGGGAGGGAGCTTGGTTGGAAATTGGAGTTTGTAGATGGGGAGGAGTTCAGTGCGGTGAAAGGGAGGGAGTTGGGTGGGAGTTGGAGAAGAGGTTGGAGTTTGTAGATGGGTAGGAGTTCAATGCGGTGAAAGGGAGGGAGTTTTGTTGGAAATGTTGGAGTTCGTAGACAGGGAGGAGTTCAGTGCGGTGAAAGGGAGGGAGTTTGGTGGTCAAAATTCGACCCCCAGGAAACGAGACTCTCATTTGAGAGTCTCGTTTTCAGGAACCCCACCTAGCCTAGCCCAACTTTAGGATGTCCACTAGTAGGTGGCGGGTAGTATTACCCGCTTTTCAGGGTCACCGGGTCGGGTATACCCGGACCCGCCAGGCGGGTATTGTATTACCCGCCCCTTAAGGCCGGGTCCGGGTAAGGGTCCTGGGCATATTACCCGACCCGGACCCGACCCGAAATTACCCGACCCGAGGTCGGGTATTGCAAAACCGGGTCGGGTCGGGTAATTACCCGGTTTTGCTCAAGCCTACATGGATATCACGTAAATATCGCACGCGATATTTGATATTGCATGCGATATTGAAATATCGCTTATCAAATTTATATTGCTGTGGGCTAACAGCGATATAAATGCGATAAAAAAATATCGCGCGATATACTCATCGCATTGCACGACATTTATTCAGGAAAAAAGAATCGTTATCGCATCTTTGTGATATATGCGATGCGATGCGATATAACCATGTCTATGTACTAGCAGCATCACATGCTTGTTGTGCTTGTGCATGTGCATGTGCATGTGCTTGTTCGTCTGCGTGTCTTGTGCTTGTGCTTCTGTCACCCCTTTGTACGCCAGGAATCTGAACTACAACGACCTGTCGGGATCTATCCCTGCTGACCTCAGCAAGCTCACGAGCCTGGAACAGCTGTGAGGAGCCAACAGTAGGGCATACGTGGCAAGTGATGTGGTGCTATGCTGCACTTTCTGCCTTGGCATTTTGGCTGGGGGTACACCTAATTAGCACCAATTTCTCCCCTGCCAATTTTGCTGCGTTCAGTAGCTACCCGGCTTGAAAATGCGTGCGAGGGTTGCGAGACATGAGCAACGGCTCGTGGCGGGCTGGGCGCGGCCCGGCCGGGCCCGTTAGAAACATGGGCTCGGGCCGCCTGTCCCCGAAACTCGGCCCCTGCTTAGGGGGACCGGCCGCCGGCCGGGCCCGCCGCTGTGCCAACGCCGGCCGGACCCCTAAGTATGGGCTCGGGCCAGGCTTTTGCCAAAGTCTGCCCGACTTCGGCCTGATCCCGGCCTGGCCCGTCCCAGGGTCGGCCACCCCTGAAACGGGCCAGGTTAGGGCAGGCTGCACCAATGCTCATGCCTAGTTGTTGCGTCCCCAATGGGTTATCCCACACACAATTGATGCGAAACCGGTTATCAGGTGATCGGCACGGCATGTAACTGTGTGAGAGGGAAGTGCGTGGGGTACAACTCGCGGCGGCTCGTCAGAGCTAACATGTAATCCAGGGAGATGTTTAGGGCGTGTGAAAGTGGCTAAGGGTAGGTGTACTGGCTTGGTATGGTGGCATGTGAAGGCACGAGTGACCCTCTATTCCAACATTCTCTGGATTCTCACCGTCACCCACATTCTTTTGTGTCATTTCGACATCTCTTCTCTTGGTTGCTGCAGAGGAATACAGTGGAATGGTTTGGAAGGCTCGCTTCCCATAGAAATGTCATCCTTGAATAAGCTTACAGGCCTGTGAGTCATTGCTGCTGCTACTGCCTCTACTGGTCTATTGCCAGAATGGCAACATTAGCACAGCAGTGCTTGTCGTACTGCATCCTACCACCACATGAAGGGTTCATGTACGTACTAGGGGCTTTTATTCTGCCATGTTCCACTCTAGGTCCACGGTCACCATGTGTGTTTGGTTGTTCTTGCTTGCGACCCTTTCAGAAGGCTAGACCACAATTCCCTCTCTGGGTCCCTTCCAGACTCGTTAGCCTCGTTGACCAACCTTGCCACCTTGTGAGTGCCACTCCCTCTCACTTCAGCATCCCTGAAACATGTAGCTGGCTTTCTCTTAGCTATTCCTTTTCCTGACCCCTAAAACGTGGCTCATCCCCCATGCCTGCGACTATGTTTGCTTCTTTGTGGTTATTCGTGACTGTAACTTGTCGTAATATAAACTCAAGAAGTAGAGCATATACCTCTTTTCACGACCCCGACGAGCCGGGGTCGAGCTGAGCCATTTCAGCTCATCGACTCGACGAGCCTGGACCCGGCTCGTCATGCCTAGCGTTTTGGTGGAGGGGGGGAAAACGATACTGGAAAAACAGATCTGCCATTTTCCAGATCTGTTTTTCCACAACCACCACTTGTGGGGTAATTCTTTAAAATTTGCAACCACCCCCTGAGGGCGAAGCTTTGAATATCGCCACCATCTCCGGTAGACATGGGCAGCATGCCGAGCCTGGCTCGACTCGGCTCGACTCGAACTCGAGCCAGGCAAAAGTCGAGCCGAGCCGACTCGGCTCGACCCGAGCCGGCTGCCCCAAAATGGTTGGCTCGACTCGGGGGTTCAGGGTCGAGCCAAGGTCGGCTCGACCTTGGCTCGGCTCGGCTCGACTCGCCAAAAGGGTTTCTTGTGCATGTTTTGAAAGGTCTTGCTAGATCGCTGTAAATGCTCTGCACGTAAAGGTCCCTAAGCCCTTACATCCTTCCTACAACACCAAAAGGTAGTCGAAAAAAATATAAAGTAGCGGTGTTGGTGGAGAGAGGGCAAGCTAGGATGGCGAAGTAGCTCAGATGTACGCTTAGGCTCGATGGCGAAAACCTAGAATGGATTGTCAACTTCCAGGGGGGTCGAATTTTGACCCCCCACGAGCGAGCCACGCGCTTGGGGAGTCGAGCCAAAGTCGAGCCAAAGTCGAGCCGGCTCGACTTCGGCTCGCCCTGAAATTTGCGACGAGTCGAGTCGAGCCGCGCGGCTCGACCGGCTCGACCCGGCTCGACTCTGGGCGAGCCGGCCAAAAAAAAAACCCGGCTCGACTCGCCTTTTTGGCGAGTCGATTCGAGCCGAGTCGAGCCAGGCTCGGCATGCTGCCCATGTCTAATCTCTGGATGGCAAAATGGCAAATTTTGCAACCTCCTCCTGAGAGGTCATTTTCTATCTAGATTCGCAACCACCTCGTGAGGGGTCATTTTTGGAAAATGTAGAACAGATCTGGCAATTTCCGGATCTGTTTTTCCATATCGGCATCCCCCCACGCCTTATTTTGACCTAGTCAGAGTAACCCTGTCGAGCCAAGCCGGCTCGTTTTCAAGCCAGTCCCTGGCTCGACCCTTTTAAGGTGAGCCGAGCCAGGCACATTACGTGACCGTCTTGAGATGGCTCGGCTCAGTCCGGCTCGGCTTGGCTTGAGTGGGTCCCGACCCCGGCTATAGCCTGGCTCGGGCTTATGCCCAGGTCTATCTCACAGTAAATCAATCTGTCCTTTCTGACTGACCCTTTTCTCTCCTTCTCTTTGCTTACTCTCCCTTCCATGCCCACTTCCCTGTACTTTCTGCCTCTTAAGGTCCCTAAGCTACAACAGTTTTAACGGAACTCTGCCTGCCTTTCTTCCCCAGCTGCAAGGACTGTCGAGATTGTGAGCACTGCCCATTGGTCCGGCACAGCATCTGCTGTCCCGTCCATCAGGCTGAAAGTGAAAGTCACCTGTTTGTGCGCAACCCATCTCATCCCATCTCATCCCATCTCATCCCATCTCATCCCATCTCATCCCATCTCATCCCATCTCATCCCATCTCATCCCATCTCATCCCATCTCATCCCATCTCATCCCATCTCATCCCATCTCATCCCATCTCATCCCATCTCATCCCATCTCATCCCATCTCATCCCATCTCATCCCATCTCATCCCATCTCATCCCATCTCATCCCATCTCATCCCATCTCATCCCATCTCATCCCATCTCATCCCATCTCATCCCATCTCATCCCATCTCATCCCATCTCATCCCATCTCATCCCATCTCATCCCATCTCATCCCATCTCATCCCATCTCATCCCATCTCATCCCATCTCATCCCATCTCATCCCATCTCATCCCATCTCATCCCATCTCATCCCATCTCAGCCCATCTCATCCCATCTCATCCCATCTCATCCCATCTCATCCCATCTCAGCCCATCTCATCCCATCTCATCCCATCTCATCCCATCTCATCCCATCTCATCCCATCTCATCCCATCTCATCCCATCTCATCCCATCTCATCCCATCTCATCCCATCTCATCCCATCTCAGCCCATCTCATCCCATCTCATCCCATCTCATCCCATCTCAGCCCATCTCAGCCCATCTCATCCCATCTCATCCCATCTCATCCCATCTCATCCCATCTCATCCCATCTCATCCCATCTCATCCCATCTCATCCCATCTCATCCCATCTCAGCCCATCTCATCCCATCTCAGCACATCTCAGCCCATCTCATCCCATCTCATCCCATCTCATCCCATCTCATCCCATCTCATCCCATCTCATCCCGTCTCAGCCCATCTCATCCCATCTCAGCCCATCTCATCCCATCTCATCCCATCTCATCCCATCTCATCCCATCTCATCCCATCTCATCCCATCTCAGCCCATCTCATCCCATCTCATCCAAGGTGCAAAAAAACGGCATCCGTATTCAACGGTCCGTTTTAAACGGCCGTTTTTTACAGTGGGTTTTGGTAAAAAACGACGTTTTTTTGTTAGACCTTTTTTCATGATTTTTTTTTAATGTATAAAAAGCACGCGTAAACAAGTGGCCTGATTGCTAAGGCGGCCTGCATCGTTCTACGGGGTAATTAGCGGCTTTGAAACAGGCATGTGATGTCCATGCCCCTAGTCCGTCGCCTTCTAGGTCTCATTCTGCTCCTACTCCACCATCCCCCCCATCCTCCTCCTCCTAAGCGTCATCCACCTAGTCCTCCCCCCCCTTGTCCTCCCCCCCCTAAGCGTTATTAGCTCGGCCAAAAACAATTTACACCGTATTATACGGTGGTACGAAAAAAACGGTCGTATAAAACGGCCGTTTTTTTGCACCAAACGCAAAATGCAACTTTTGACCGTTTTAATCGTATTATACGACCGTTTTATACGATCCCGTTTTAAACGGTCAAAAAAGGTAAAAAACGCCTTTTTTTTGCACCTTGATCTCATCCCATCTCATCCCATCTCATCCCATCTCATCCCATCTCATCCCATCTCAGCCCATCTCATCCCATCTCATCCCATCTCATCCCATCTCATCCCATCTCATCCCATCTCAGCCCATCTCATCCCATCTCATCCCATCTCATCCCATCTCATCCCATCTCATCCCATCTCATCCCATCTCAGCCCATCTCATCCCATCTCATCCCATGTCAGCCCATCCCATCCCATCTCATCCCATCTCAGCCCATCTCAGCCCATCTCATCCCATCTCATCCCATCTCATCCCATCTCATCCCATCTCATCCCATCTCATCCCATCTCATCCCATCTCATTCCATCTCATCCCATCTCATCCCATCTCATCCCATCTCATCCCATCTCAGCCCATCTCATCCCATCTCATCCCATCTCATCCCATCTCATCCCATCTCATCCCATCTCATCCCATCTCATCCCATCTCATCCCATCTCATCCCATCTCATCCCCTCTCAGCCCATCTCATCCCATCTCAGCCCATCTCAGCCCATCTCAGCCCATCTCAGCGCATCTCGGCCAATCTCAGCCCAACTCAGCCTACGGCCCAAACCTCTTGTGGCTTGCTGCTCTGCTGCTGCCTCTGCTACTGTTCTGTTTGCCTTGTGAAACTTGCCTGGGCGCATTGACATGTCCGGTTGCTATCACCGATGCAGGCACCTGGAGTACAACCGCCTCCAAGGAAACATCCCATCGTCCCTTGGAGCCCTCGTTCAACTGCGCTACCTGTGAGGCAGAGACGTAGGGATAAGGCAGCTTCAGTCACTACTTCACTCCCTCCTCTTGCCATTTGGTCCCCTCATTTGAACACCAAATAGGTGCCATTGTGTCAATACGTGGCAGCAACTTGTGTGATGACACCTGTGTTAATCGTAGAGTGCTTGTAGAAAAAACTCTTGGATTAAAAATAGGGATAATGCAGCTTCAGTCACTACTTCACTCCGTCCTCTTGCCATTTGGTCTCCTCATCATCTCCTCCGCTGTGACGCCTAGAGCAGTACAGTATCGCGGTGCTGACGAGCGCTGTAGTTTTGTGTCGCTCCCACCGACAGCGCAGCATCTGCACCAGACAGCCTCGCTCCCACATTGCCTGTGCTTGCAGGGTGCTGGGCGTGAACGACTTCACTGGCACCATCCCATCATCCTTGGCGAACCTCAGGAACCTTGAGGCGCTGTGAGCCACCTTCCCTTCTCTTGCCCTCCATTGGCCACCTTCCGTCACCTTCTGTGACCCCATTGGCATGCTCAGAGCGTCTCGACATTCGTCTTTGGGCCGTTCTCCAAATGCTTCAATGGCTCTCATGATTGAACCATTAGCGTTATCCCCCTCACATCCCCTCACCTCCCTTCACATCCCCTCACCTCCCCTCACCTCCCCTCATCTCCCCTCACCTCCCCTCCCTCACCTCCCCACACCTCCCGTCACATCCCCTCACCTCCCCTCGCATCCCCTGACCTGCCCTGACCTGCCCTGACCTCCCGTCTCCTCCTGCAGTTCGCTGCGAGACCTGCGTCTCCATGGCCTGGTGCCGCCAGCTCTCAGCTCACTGCAGAAGCTTTGGCACCTGTGAGTGTTGGATTGTTGACTGAAGCTATATCTAAGGTAAACCTATTGATGAGGCTGGGTTGGCCACAGTTGTACAAGACGTACAATGCACTTCTGTGTGCTGTACACATTGCATGTTGCTGGATAACCCAGATATAGTCCTTTCTATCTCTGTCTCTCCCATGTTATTCACCCGTGGGGTTGGGCTTGTCCTAGCACTTTTCTTCTAGGGGTGAACTCAAGGCTTCGTCCTTCCAACTTGCCTGATAATGATATCTCGTCAGGACTTAAGTCTGTTATAACTTATAGTGCATCATGCATCCGCCTCCGGTGCTTAGAGTGCCTGATGGGTCAACTCCTGGTGTTGACCTAGTGTTAGATAGTTAGAGTTTGGCTCGCCTCACAGCTGGAAGAAGGCTCACCAACCACCAAGACCAAATGCATTGGCCGTTGTTGGCTTATTGGCCAGCCTCTTAGGTAGTTGGCTGCTTCTCTGCCACTCTCAGCGTACAACTATGCTCGCTCTCTTGACTTGTTTCAAAAGCTTCACATCACTAGCTCATTCTGTTCCGTTCACGTTCCGTACGTTTCATGCACTTCTCGGCTGCTTAAGTCCCCTTTGAAGACTCCTATTGCTGGTATGAACTTGGACGCTTCATTGCACGTCACGAGGAGGATACTCAAAAGCAGCTTCGAAGCATGCGATAACACAGAAGTCTCGAAATCACGCATCTCTCTTCCACGTGGCAGGGAGCTCTCTTCCACGTCTCTCTCAGGACCCTTGGCACCAATCGTGGCTCCCCTGACACGCCTTAAGAAGCTGTAAGTAAGCAAAGGACAAGTGTAGCTGCGAAATCGCTCCAGCATCAGCAGTGTATCATAGAGCAGTTTCTGCGTCCTCTCCACATCTGTCGCCACTTTCCCCCTACTCCAAACCCTCATGTATTACCCTCCCCGAGATCCTGTGCCATTCATTCAATCAACGGCCATGTCTATCTTGTGTCGGCAGGCTGGTGAGCTCCAGCCAGTTCACGGGAGATGTGCCCATCCCAGCGTCCAAGGCCCTGGCAGTTGTGGACGTGCAGAGCAACTACTTCTCCTCCGCCCTCATCCGCCCTAAGAACTGCTCCGCTGTCACCCTCTTGCTCTTCGACAACTGCCTACCCTCCACCCCGTGTGGGGTGAACCACGAGCAGAGGAGCAACGAGAGCTGTGCAGCATTCTGTGGGGTGGGGCAGGGCGGGGCGCTGTGCAGTGGTCATGGGTACTGCTTCATGAACGACAGCAGCAGCACGGCCGAGTGTGTGTGCGAGGCACCCTACTCCACTCGCAATGGCCCCCATACATGCACGTACACAAGTATGCAGAATTCGGGTTCCTGTTTGGGCGAGCTTTTTTCAATAGTTTACGCCAACGTGCAGCTTTCTTCCATCGTGGCCCACCATGCACCCCCTCGTCATTCTTTCACAGAGCTCCCTCCCTTCATCCATCCTCTGTTGCCCCCCTCCAGTTGACCCCGTGACTGCCTCCTCTGCCACCTCGCCCATGTCTCTGAGTGGCTCTGCGTTGCGCTCTGCTGGCGGCGCCCTGCTGCTGATCCCCAGGGCCAATGGCACCTGGGGCACGGCCTTCACAGCCGCGCCTCTGCCCCTCTTCTCCTACTTCAACACCAAGGCCACATGCGGTTACCAGTTCGCCTTCAACGCATCCTTTGCCTTCTCCCTCCACCCGGACTCAGAGGCCGGTGGGGATGGGCTCGTGTTTGTCGTCGCTGCCGCGCTGCCAGACAGGCTGGGAGGGGTGGGGCGGCGGAGTGTGGGAGTGGAGTTTGACTCGGTGCTGAGTGTGAAGCACAGCGACCCCAACGACAACCACGTGGGCGTCAATGTGGGCGGCTCACCTGTGTCCCTCGCCTCTGCCACGGCCCCTCTCATCCTCAACGACGCCCAAACCAAGCACGCCTGGATCCACTACGACCCCACCAGCGGCGGCACTCTTCGAGTCTTCCTCTCCTCCGACCCCGTGCAGCCCCTCACCCCCACCCTCCGCGCTCGAGTGTCCCTCTGCTCCATCCTGCAGCCCAAGGCGTCCTCTGCTGCATTCTATGTCGGCTTCACAGCTTCATCCACAGCCAGGGCACAAGCACACTCCGTGCTCAACTGGACATTCACTGCAGGTATGCACCTCTCAGGTGGTGGGTGGGCGGGGGCATTGTATTAGGGACATTATTACCCTCCTCAACTTTTCCTACCAGTCTTTTTTTTTTTTTAGCATCATTGGTTGTTTTTCCCATTTTCCAAGCCTTATTTTTTCCAAAGCTACAAGTTTTGGTCACGAGTGATTTGTTTTTCCGAGTACTCGTGCACTGTGAAATCTCTCATGGTGATGGGTGGCAGCTATGTGCGTGCGTGCGTGCGTGCGTGCATGCGTGCGTGCGTGCGTGTGTGCGTGCGTGCGTGTGTTTGTGTGCGTGCGTGTGCTTGTGTGTGTGTGTGCGTGTGTGCTTTTTATTTGTTTGGTGTTATTAGTCTTTCATGGATTGAATGAACCGATGTCCTCATAATTAGACATGGGCAATCACCCTCAATTAGAGATGGGTATGCACGGCATTTTGGTACTTGCTCAGTCTCGTACTTGTGGGATTTTTTCTCCCAGTGCATGCCATTCGGATGAACCCAACATCGAGCTACAGGGCATCGGTCCACTATGCGGCAGAGTTGTCGGACAATAAGTTTGTGTGTCACTGCAGCCCTTGCTCTGTAGTTGAGGGAGGTGCGTGCAAGGTGCAAAAAAGCGGCGTTTTTTACTTTTTTTTACCGTATAAAACGGAATCGTATAAAACGGCCATTTAATACGATTAAAACGGTCAAAAGTGGTGTTTTCTGCCTGGTGCAAAAAAACGGCCGTTTTATACGGTCGTTTTTTCATACCGCTGTAAAAAACGGAAGTTCGCTTTATATCGAGGAGGGTGAGGAGGCTGAGGAGGACTAGGGTGAGGAGGAGGGCGACTAGAGCGAGGAAGGGGAGGACTAGGGTGAGGAGGAGGGCGACTAGAGCGAGGAAGGGGAGGACTAGGGTGAGGAGGAGGAGGACAATTAGGAGGACGAGCAGAGCCGGAGTAGAGTAGGAGGAGGACTAGGAGGAGGAGGGTGAAGGAAGGGCGAAAAGGACAATGAAAGGAGGTCTAGGAGGACGAGGATGGTGTTTCAGATGCACGTCGGCTGTCGCCGCCACCAGGCCCTCTGTTTCGCAGCGATATTTTTTAGTTTAGGGTTAAAAAAAAAAACAAAAAAAAACAAAAAAAAAAAACCTGGGAAAAAAAAAAAAAACTCTAACAAAAAAACGGTAGAATTTGCATAAATCTGCCGTATAAAACGACCGTAAAAAACGGACCGTTTAATACGGAAACCGTTTTTTTGCACCTTGGGTGCGTGTGCTTGCAGATTGTAAATGGCAGTCTCACACACTGCCAATCAGGCGAATATATTTCATGATCCAACTAACACATCAGCTCCACGAGGTCTCACTCACACCACGGCTGCACCCTATGCACCCATCTAGTGTCACCTGGCTTCTGCTAGCCCCCCACCCCCCGGCTTCAGGGCTTCAAATAACGAGCCGAGAGGAGCCCAGCTCGTTACCGGCTCGGCTTCGGCTCGTAGCCAGCTTCACCAAGCCGAGCCGGGCTTCAGCTGAAGCCTGCTCGTTCCGGCTCGGCTAGGCTTGGCTTGCTTGAAACCCGGCTCACACCCGGCTCAAACCCGGCTCGGCTCGGCTCGGCTCGAGCCCATGTCTACCCTCCATTCCCGCTTCTTTTCACTTGCTGCTTGTTGCGTGGCTGCTGTCGGTGCAGATGTTCCACTCAACCCGCGCTTCGATCCTTCAAGTGAGTATCACCTTGTCGCTTCAGCTGCTCCTGCCTCGACGTTCGTGGCTGACTCCTGCTTTCTCTTCTCCCTGTCCCCACCAGACCTGGCACTGGGGTTTGTGTTGGACGAGGACTCCTTCTCATCTCAGGGCTTCAACTCCGCCTTCCACTACGCCAGTGCGGGATTCGAGCCAGCGCAAGACAACAGCCCCGCATGGCTGGTCAAGTCCTTCGCCTCCTGGATCCCGCCCCAACCCATTTGGCCGGTTAAGAACCAAAAAGGATGTGGTGAGTTCAATGTGCGCAAGTCAGTTTTTGGAATGCCAAATTAGCATCTGGCACACCTCAAATGCAAGGCCCGAGCACTAGAATTTGCTGGCAGACATCCGTAGTCTGGAAGAAATAGAGTTGAAGCTGTGTACCACGATGTTTAGCAAGACGCTGTGCATTGCACTGTGCAGGTGACTGCTGGGCGTTCGCAGTGGTGGCAGCGGTGGAGGCAGCCTACAGCATCGCGAGCGGCTGGTCGCAGCCCCCTGTGCTGTCGGTGGACCATCTGCGCCTCGCCCTCTCCTCCAACTGCGACGGTGGCTCCCCCACCAAGGCGCTGCAGTTCCTCCTGAACGCCACCAACCAGGGCAGGGGGCTGCTGGAGCAGGCAGCGTACTCCCAAGGGCTGGCGCTCAAGGGCAGATCGCTGGTTAGTGCGCTGCTGCTACTGTGCCTCTAGTGCGTCGGTGTTCTTTTACTTGTTTGCTATTGATGGCATGCTTTTGTCCCTGACCTCTCTCTCCTCTCCCATGTGCCTTCCTTCCCGCAGGCCAGCACAAGGTACTATGGCGTCCGGGGCATCGAGCGCACGGCCTTCTACGGGTGGTTTGGGCTCATGCTGGCAGTGCAGCGCCAGCCAGTCATTGTGCACATCGAGGCCTCCGCACCCTCCTTCCAAGACTACGATGGGGTAAGGCACCCTCCTTCCAAGACATTAATGGGGTAAGGCACTCTTTTTCCAAGATTACGTTTGGGTAAGCCATCTTTTCAAGACAACAATGAGGTAAGGCACCCTCCTTGGAAGTGCTAGTTTCGTTTGTGGTGTTCTTCTATTCGTCCTATTCGTTTGGAGTTCTAGCATGGATTTATTATTTTTCACCCTTCGTGAAAAATAGGATCAGGACCACCACTGCCTATCATGCACTATGTCTGTGTGGGAACAGAGAGGCAAGTACGCGGACGAGGCGTGTTTCAGCGGCCATCTGAACCACGTGGTGCTGGTGGTGGGCTTCCTCTCCGCGGGCTTCGACCCTTCCAACTCCGCCATGCCGCCACCCTTCTGGATCATCCGCAACTCATGGGGCACAGGGTGGGGCGACCAGGGCCACATGCGAATGGACATTCGCAGTGGCGATGGCATCTGCGGCATCAACACTCTCCCGGGGCTCTTCCCCGTCGTCAGAAGTGAGGCTGCTGCTCACAAACAGATTGTATACAGAAAGGAGGAGGAACCCCCGCTTAGTTGCCCGGCCGTGATGTCGATGCCTCATGTTTGGCAATCCTTTAAACCTGTACGTTCTTGATTCACAGATGCATTTTACCGTCTGCCTGTGTCATTGGTTTTTTCTCACGCCTGCCCCATATCCCTCGCCTTGTGTTGATCAGCCAATGCAGATCCTTGTGGTTCGCGGTCTTACGAGTATCCCCTCCTCGGCCACACGTTTAACCCGTGTGGCCAGTTCAACTGCACCAAGAAAGGCACCAGCAATCGCTGCAAGTGCTCTGATGCCCGTTTTTCTCAAGTCAAGAACACCGATGGATCGTACACCTGTGCCTACGGTAACGTCTATGTGTGCTTATGGTCTTTTGTGCTGTGCTTAGGGTCATACACATCGTTTTCCATGGTGCATATGTGCTGATTGTACTCTTCACAGGTCTTATTTCTGTATCTCCTGTTGTAAAATATATATCTACACAACATGGGTGCCTAGATTAGGAGGTGTAGTCATCATATTTATTGGGGGGTTGTTGGTTGGGTTGACCAACCCCACATTTGGGTTGGTCAAGATTGGAATCCAATCATTGGATTTGGTCCTAGACATTTGGTTGGCACTATTCCAACCAAATGGTCCTTGGTCCTAAGCCCCAACCAATCACCAAGCGCCACACTTTGTGGTTGCTTACCTTCCAAGCAACCTCTCCCATTGGCCCACATTGTGGCCAATCGGAAAGCACCACACTTTCTGGTTGCTTGTCCTCCAAGCTACCTCTCCCATTGGTCCACATTATGGCCAATGGGAGACCTTCCCTTCCATCTCTTCCTTGCTCCTTGTTTGTACAATAGAGCCTCTTGGCTCCCTACTCAATCAATTATTTCTCCTCTAAGCCAGTTCCTTCAGCTCCTGCTGATTTCGGTATCACAATGTCTCTCTCTTGCCTTTTGTCACTGCCGTACACATACCTACGCCCGTGCCCACACACATCGCCCCCCATTCCCCTTATGCTTCACATGCCCATTCCGGCTCCCATGCGCCTGCTGTTTTCATGCCTACACTCATGCCCACAGCCTTTGCCAGACCCATTCTCCTTGTGTTTCACACCACACTCCCATTCCTATGCCCACCCCACGCCCATCCCCGTGGCTTCCCCCAGTGGACGTGTGTGGGTCCAGCAGTCGCAACCCGTGTGTGGTGGGCACGTGTGTGAACGATGGCAGGGGCAGCTTCTCCTGTGTGTGTCCCCCGGGGTTCGTCCAGGGCACCACTCTCGCCACCACCGCCTCCTGTGCTCCGGGTAACATTCCCTGCCTTCATGTATCCCTCTCTGTTGACATTTTCCTTCTGCTAGCATTCCTCATTTGGTGGAAGCGCTCTCCACCTGTGCTTGGGGTAGCTGGCTGCTGACCTTTTCTTTGAGTGGTGGTGCAGGTGATGCAGGGGGGGTGTACACGGTGCAGCAGAGCAACGTGTGGTGCTCTGATGTGCATCCCATCTTTGCACTCACACTGGACCAGTTCGTGCAGCAGAACAAGGTATCACCGCACCCTGAACAATGTCAGTAGCATCAGCCTCAGCATGTGCCAGCACCATGAGTTTGTTTGCGATTAGAGTATTCGTAGGATTCGCGGGATGTGCCATCATCCCCTGCATGTGCCATCATCCCCTGCATGTGCCATCATCCCCTGAATGTGCCATCATCCCCTGCATGTGCCATCATCCCCTGCATGTGCCATCATCCCCAACATGTGCCATCATACCCTGCATGTGCCATCGTCCCCTGCATGTGCAATCATCCCCTCCATGTGCCATCATCCCCTGAATGTGCCATCTCCCCTGCATGTGCCATCGTCCCCTGCATGTGCCATCATCCCTTGCATGTGCCATCATCCCCTGCATGTGTCATCATCCCCTGCATGTGCCATCGTCCCCTGCATGTGCCATCATCCCCTGCATGTGCCATCATCCCCTGCATGTGTCATCATCCCCTGCATGTGCCATCGTCCCCTGCATGTGCCACAGGGCATCTCGTGCTCCATGCCTCTGCGCATCAACTCAAGGCTGCTTGTCAACTCCACAGTCGACCCCTGCTCTGTCTTCTACACCACCGTTCTGGTAAAGCCTTGAATCGTCTAGCCATGCTGCACAGCTGAGGTCGTGTTTTCTTCCCCCTAACTCCTCTTTCTATGGTTTCAGATGTTTTCTGTGCCTTCCCTTAGTCCTTCTAGCCAAACCATCCTCCTCCTCCTCTTCCCCCAGGGCGACACGTGTGCCGGGGTGGGGCGGCAGGTGGAGCTGTGTGGAAATGCGGCCACGGATGCGGCGTGTGAGGCGGCATTTCAGGCGCTCAACCCCGCTGTGGACTGCTCGTCCCTGAAGCCCTCCCAGGCGGTGTGCGTGGAGCGAGACCCCTCCAAGGCCAACCTGACTGTGGTGTGCGACCAGTACTACCGCGCACGCCTCAACGACACCTGTGACAGCATTAGAGCCATGGCAGAGCCACCTCTCAGTGCGGTGGACTTCTACCGCCTCAACCCCGGCGTCAACTGCAACCAGCTCATCCCCCTCAAGAAGGCCTCACGCCCCGCCACCACCTTCGGCAATGAGGTGAGTCCTGCATGCTTTTTGCCACGTTTTCAACTCTGGAACGTGCTGTGCGTTGTTTGCTCAGAGGCCAATGCATGACTGCTCTGGCTTCTGCCCCCCCATTTCATATTGTGGCCACCCTCCTCGCTTCCTCTCCCCATGGCTGCAGGTGTGCATTGGCAGTGTCACCAACTTCACAGCTGGCATCTGTTCAAGGACCAGCACCTACACCATCTCGCCTGGTGATGATTGCAAATACATCCAGCTAAAGTATTTCTACAGTATTAAGGGATGTTACAGAAGAATGAATGGGTACGAGTGTGTAGACAAGTTGAGGCTTGGGGTCAGAATATGCACACCAAATGCCAAAAAGGCTCGAACTGGGAGCTGTAACATTTGATGAGATTCGCAAAGGAATCTGGTGTACAATCTGTAAATAGTGAACGTAAAACCGAACGAGGCTTTTGTAAACCTTCGTGGAGTGAAAGAATACAAAGGAGATGTAATGTGGCCTGCAAGAGACTGCTAAATATTCCTCCATTTATGGTTCATTCATTGGTTCTGCGAGATTCCCTGGCGTAAAAAAAGCCTGGGAAAAAAAAGTGTCATTTTCACTCGTATTGGTTTCGACCCCAGAAACAGTGCCAGCAACAAGGTCAGCAGGGAGCAGCAGCAACAGCAGGAAGTTTTGAGGCTCCTCATAAACAGGTTCCACTACCACATCTTCCAGATGTTGAGCGTGGGAGAGCTTGTCGGGATAAAAGACATTGCATGCGTCAGCAGTGCACTGCTCTTGATTGAAATACTTAGCCTCATTTCCCTACAGCACCATCGCCATGCACTCGATGCGCTTGAGACAGCCAGACCAATAGCCCATAACGACGCCTCCACTCACTCGCTCACTCGCTCGCTCACTCACCCACCAATTCACTCACTCACCCACTAAGGGTACATACCTACGAGCTCCAGCAGTTTAGCTTTCGTCATTTTGGTGTAGATTCCTCGAGCCGCGTGACAGTTTGGTCCAACTCACATTGCGTTTTTGGTTTGCGACCCTGAGCAATGGCCCAGCGATTCCACACGGCATGTGATGCTTGGGTGATCGTGTATACGCACATTCTGATTGTCAAACATGTTCGAGACACAAAATTCAAAATCCAATTTTTGCGGACCCAAGCGATATGTGACAACACAAAAGCCGCAGAGACGGGAAAGTCACAAGCACCCCACTAGGGATCGTGCCCACCGGACGCACAAAAGGCAATCGCGCTCTCCTTTCCATGCGTTTGGGCTTGGTTTGGCCATACTTTCGGGGCTGCCCAGGCTCGGGATTGGGCTGAACTCTGAGCTGTGTTGCTCCCAACATTTGGGAACAGGGGGCGATTCACAGCTGTCACGAGGTTCGTCCCAATTGGTTTCTTCAACTTGCGTACATCACGGTGTCCAATCTGAGCGTTACAAACGTCGCACAAAAGCGGCGCACCAAACAGACAGATTAGGCGGAAACCTTTCGTCACTTTATAAACCGCAGCGACGAAAAGGCCCATAGGAAGACGCCCTAACTCTCTCTCTCAGTGACTCAATTCCCCACAAAGCCTGTCATGCAGTCACACCTCAGCACTCCACAGCACTTGAGTTGTAACCTTATGGCCACTCACAAGTCCTGCAGCTACTTGAGGTTGCCAATTGCCTCTGGAATGCGGCCCGAAAGTGAGTTCCTGTGGAGGTGGCTGGTGCATGGTGAAGGTGGAAAGAGGGCATGCATGGGAAGGGTAGGAGAGGGGAATCATTGGATTCAGGGAGGGAAAACGTGAGAAAATATATTGGAAGGAGGAATTACCAGAGGGAGATGAGGATCCATGGAGCAGAGTACAGCTGTGTGTCATCAAAGCATTACCATGTAACAACCATTATTTCAACACATGAAGGGTGTTGTAGAGATGCAGCATATGAGGGGAACAAAGAAAGGGGCGGCTGGTGGAGAGGAGGGAAAAGAAGCATCATGCAGTGAGAGGATTGAAAGGTGCATGAGAGAAGAGGGGTTGGCCAGGGAAGCAGGGAGGGTGGTCAGAGAGTTGATTGCTGCCAAACACTCTGCATTCAGCACACAAAAAACAGACATGGATGAGAGACAGGCCACAGCCGAGACTTGGGTTACGGACGGGTGAAAACATAGGCGATAAATGGAAGCAGGGGTGGATGGCCGGAAACACGGGTGAATGATGTAAGAGGCTAAATAGAACAGGTTGTTGTGAGAGGAAGGCACAGGGCTATGAAAGTGGGTTGAGGGGGATCCTCACCGGGATGGATGGACGGAGGGAGGGAGGGAGGGAGGAAGGAAGGGATGCAGGGAGGGAGGGAGGGAGGGAGGGAGCGAGGGAGGGAGGGAGGGAGGGAGGGAGGGAGGGAGGGAGGGAGGGAGGGAGGGAGGGAGGGAGGGAGGGAGGGAGGGAGGGAGGGAGGGAGGGAGGGAGGGGAGGATGGACGGATGGATGGATGGACGGATGGATGGATGGATGGATGGATGGATGGATGGATGGATGGATGGATGGATGGATGGATGGATTGATGGATGGATGGATGGATAGACGGACGGACGGATGGACGGCTGGATGGAAGGACGGATGGATGGACAGACAGATAAGTGCACACATGAATGGATGCATGAACTGAGTAGGTTTGGAGGCGTGTTGCTGTTGTGTGATGTCATCATATGCTATCATATTCTGTCTGCCTCCCATCCCATGTTTTCAACTTGCATGTGTGGTTGGAACGTGTGCAAGAATTTGTGTGTGGTGTGTTCTGGAGTTTGGGAATGTGTTTTATGTTATTCTGTCTGAGCAGGTATTTGTGATGATAGATCTTGAGAAGATCTTTCCGACGCAACAAGAATCGCTGGAATCGGAGTAAGAACGTGAAAGCTATGAAGATTCGAAGTTCATGAGCTTGCGTTACAATTGCGGCGGTTACAAAGTGAAGTTGTGGGGTGACTCTATATGGAGTTGGGACCTTTGGGGTTGGACAAATTCGTCACTCTACTGTAGCAGCTGCAAATTGGTTGGGAACAACCAAGCTAGGTTGGCAAGGGTGGCCAACTTGGTTGGATTGGTTGGGAAGGGACAAATGTCAAAGTTGGGGTTCCTATAAGGGGGGAAACTTTGTGCTTATGGGGTTTTCCTTGGTTGGGGACTCTCTTGGGACCTTCCCTCTCGTCCCTCTCTTCCCATCCCAACCTTTCTCTTGCTCCTCCAATTCCTTGTGAGATTCTTGAACTTTGATTAAACTTTTGGGATTGAGTTAAGTTCTCATCCTACAGCTTACCCCTCAGTGCGTCGAAAGCCATAGCGTCGCGACTGCTCCATCAATTGACGTGATTCAAATTGAGAACAGTAGCTAAGATTACGAGCTACACGATATCCGAATTTCGTGATATTCCAACGGCTAGTTTTTCGTCGACGTCGTTTCTTGTGAAGACGACTTTTCTGTCCATAATTTCGGATATATATTTTGAGTAATTCTAGCTCCTAAGTTCACCTAGACTCCGTCCTTAATCCTAACAGTTGCAAGCCCGACTACATCGGGTATTGCGCCTGAGAGTCTAGTTCCACTGAGATCGATGCATGCATGCATCATGCATACACATCATTCAACGTGCATGCAGGCCCATTCAAGGTGCGCCCAGTCGCATTCAGATCTACCCACACACCCATGCATATCATCCACGAAGGCAGCATGCAAGAGAAAAAAGTCAAAAGTAACAGGGAAAGTAGAAAGCCACAATCTTGGTATGAAGCATTTTTAGTGACGAAAGCAAAAGGGAGAAGTGATGGGGGGAAGAGGAAGCAGCAACCTTGGAATCTAGCAGTGATAAAAGCAAGGCAATAGTTTAACACACACTGTCTTGGTAACGAGGCAAAAGCCACCTCCTATGCAAAAGAAATAAAGGGCGGAAGAAATGTGGCACGACAAGACACGAGCAGACAAATGGGGAGAAGTAATCAAACGGGTGGTTTAATCACCATAAGCCAGCAGGCAGCAAGCACTGGGCCGATCAAAGTAGTCATGAAAAACAGGAAATGAATTGACCAAGGCCCGTGATCATTTCATTTAGATCCATGTCTAGGCGACTATCGCCTCCGGCGCAGCAAAAAAGTATTTAGAAATACTCTTGCAAATAGCCTCAAGGGCCTTGCCTCCAAAGATGATCTCAAAGTAGCTGCTAATCGTCAATACGAAATGACAGCAATTTCCACTAGAAACGATGAGATACAAAGCACAAATGTTCTAACAGATTTATAGTGGAAGTACAAGCAATTTTGCGCTTCGTAACTGCCGTGTGCGCTGCGAGTAACTCGCGCACCTCTTGTCAAGCCGAGTCGCACACGCAACCGTGACTTTCTTGCTGAACACGCCACTCGTCCGAAGTCCGAATGCTTGTTGAACACGCCCCGTCCGAAACCCAACTTTTGCCCCACGTCAATCTGTTTCTCGCCACTTCCCTTCCTTTCTTCCACTCAATCACTCTTTCCTCCAACCTTCTCTCTTGCTTCTCTCCTTTCCGTACACCTCACGCTCACGCAATACCCGCTTCATAGTTCCTTCTCGTCCCCAAGTCCGCATTTCTCTCCTCGTCACCCCAAGTCACGAGTAGTCCGTTGTGGGTGGCGGAACCACTCTAACACCATGGACATGGATGGCATGGCATGGCATGCATTGTTGGAAGCCCTACTGCAGCTGCGGGCAGCCAGGCGTTGACCGACTTATGTCGGTGCACCAGTTGCCTGGCAGCTGCGGGTTGGCGTGATCAAGGTGCATGGACTAACCATTGCGTCCGAAGACTATGTCTAGTTTGTGCAGACTAGTCCGGAGATGCTCACGACGACCAGTGACTCTGACGAGTCATAAGTAGTCGTGGCTATCGCGATGGTTTTTCGTGAGCAGCAAGGCAGTGTTCGCCTTGCTGGTTGGAGTTGCGTACACGGCAAACCCAACCTTGCTGAGTTGGGTTGGAGAATTGGGCGAGGCGCGTTCGCCCAACCCTTTTGCAACTTCGGAGTGGTTGGTTACACCCGCAGCGCCACGCAACTTTGGTTGGGTTTGCACCTTAGTTGCTACAAACGCGTTTGGCGTTTGAACACTAGCGTTTAAACGCTAGCGTTTGAACACTAAACGCTCGGCAGTGTGTATGTGAACGCTAGGCAAACGCTTGCCCGGGCAGGGGTAAAATTTTTACACGGGCAGGGGTTCAAGATTCCTGTGGGGGAGGGGGGAAACATGTGGGTTCTACCAGCAGGCATGTTGTCTCATAAAAAAGAACCGTGCTTAACATTTAAGCCAGCATCCTCATATGTCATGTAAATCACCTATCCTTAAGGCTATTCTCCAACGACAATCTCGTGTATTTTTTGGGGGGCAGCCCGAAAAAAATCCCAGAGAGCGTTTGCGTTTTTGGGTGCGTTTGGCGTTTGCGTTCAAACGCA